CTATTATGACACTGCAATGCAAATTTCTTTGTGTGCTTTTATTTCCTACTGTACGTTCTAACCAGGTCTGTTTATCCAGAAGTTTCTTCCAGATAAACTATTAGAGTATTGTTCATTTTATTTTATTTGTCTTTTTAATGCATTTTAAAGACTGAATTAAAAAGCTAAGCTAACAGTTCTATATGTAGGTAGAGCATATACAGCAGGTAAAATAAGTAATGAACACCGCCACTATTATTCTCAGTAAATATATTTCTAGAGTTGCTATTGACACGACATTTTAACCAGATATTAGTAACGATCCATGCAATCAACAAAGAAATCATACAATATATGTACAAAAAATTTATTTACGTGTAATAATGTAAAATGGCACTGGGGAAAAATATTAAACACTCTTTTTGAAATTGATTTAATTCTTTGTACAAAAGTCTTTGTTGGCAATGGCAGCTTCAAGACACCTGCTGTATAGAGAAATTAGTCACATGTATTGCTCAGGTGTGATTTTGGCCCATTCTTCCACCTTCAAATCTTGAAAGTTTCGAGGGCCTCTTCTATGATCTTTGGTTCTTTCAAAAGATTTTCGGTTGGATTCAAGTCAGGTGATTGGCTGGGCCACTCTAGCAGCTTTATTTTATTTCTTTGAAACTAATTGAGAGTTTCCTTGGCTGTGTTTTTCAGGTCATTGTCTTGCTAAAACATCCACCCACATTTTATCTTCATCATCATGGTAGATGGCAACAGATTCTTAATCGAGAATTTAGTTTTTCATCGATCCTTCCTTCAATTATTTGAGGTTTGCCAGTACCATGTGTTGAAAAACAGCCCCACACCATGATGTTCCCACCACCCAACTTCACTGTTGGTGTTTTTGGAGTAATGTGCACTGCCATTGCACAGTGACCTCCAAATATGATGTTTATTATGGCATCCAAAGAGTTCAGTTATGGTCTCATCTGACCAGACTGTATTCTCCCAGTTTTTCACAGGCTTGTCTAAATGTTATACAGCAAACGTTAAATAAGCTTCAACATGCTTTTTCGTCAGCAATGCAATCTTGCCTGGTGAGAATGCATATAGGCTGTGGTGTCTGACTTCATTCCTTTAAAACAATTTACCTGCTAATACCAGGTCTTTCTGAACCTATGCAAAAGTGATCTTTGGCTCTTAGACAAACTCCAAACTTCCAGTGTGGCGCCCATGGAGAGCAATTTTCTCCTCTAGAAGCAGCAGTTTCTCACGCATGCATGAATTTCTTGTGCGGTGGTAGATAAACCATGCGCAGAAGTAGTTTAACATACATGCGAGGATGTTTATTTTGCTCGCGGGTGTTTTGAAATAAATGTGATACAATACTCCTCTGTCTGCCATCATTATGATTTGCAAACATAGGTTGTGAAGGTCTTGAGAAAGCTCTTTACTTTTACCCATCATGAGATAATTAATGTTTCATACCAGAGACACATTTTATAGGCCGTCATTTAGGATGGAACCACTGATATGAATTTACACTAACAAGGGGTAGGATTACTTTCTTATTACTGAGAGATTTTGACTGGTGTCTCGGCTTTCCATGCCTTTTTCCACCTCCCTTTCTTTACGTGTTCAATGATTTTCCCCTGTGCCATTCCACATTATTAGACATAACTTAATTTCTGGACATCTGTAGATTGATTTTTTTGTATGTGTGAACTGCATGACTTGTTAACGACATCTGCTGAAAATGTCAAGTCAATATCTCTAGAAATATATATTTACAGAGAAAAATGGTCGCTTGTTCAATAATTCACTCAATGCATTGCTCTAGTTAACCACATCCCTTTTTAGTAGCCTTAATTTTGTTTCTGATAAATTTAACCAAAAAAAAAATATTTCAACAGGGGTTTAAACACTAATATAATGTTTAAAAGTTTTATGGTACTAATCCGTAAGGAGAGGGGTCTAAATTACATGTGCAATATTTTTGTTTTACAGATTAAATGAAGGGGCTTGTGATCTACAAGGGTTGCAGCACAAATGATGTAAAAAAAAACTGGTTTGGTTCAGCAGTAGTAAAATGAAGGAATGGTATGAGCAACAGGAAGTTTGAGATGGACCAGAAGGATTAGATACAAAGCCATGGAGTTGAAGGTAATCATATCTATTTAAAAATAGTAACAATAACAGGACTACTAAATATTAGCTATAGTGCAGCTCACATAGGTAGCTCATTTCAAAGTAAAAGAACATAAGTGAAAAATAGAAAATATCGAAATAACTGCAGTTTAGTTCAAATATGAAAAATAGAAAATATATTCAAAAATTAGATTCAGCATTTGTCTGCTGTTTAAATTGTTTTTGTTAAAAAAGTTTGTACATTTTGAATAGAATATATTCCATATGTGTGCAGATCAGAGCAGTTTGACAAAGCTGATGCTTGAATTTCCCATCTGTTTTGTAACCACCACAGCTATTTAGGCTGGTGTTCATGGGAGAAAATATGAAAGAGCAAAAGTTTGCGAGGAATCCAGTTTTTGTGGTCTGTTGTTTGTGTTTGTCTCTCCCTCCACCACCAGGTGGCGCCCTGTCCTTGTTGGTCCTCCCTGCACACCTGCAGGGAGGAGTACTTAAGCAGTGGACTGTCACTACCTCGAGGCCAGAGTATTTGCCAGTTTTGGGTACTCTAACCAAGCTGAATTTAGCAGAGTTCTAACTGAGTCTTTGTTTCACTGAGCCTAACCTTGTTTTTGTCTTTGCCTTTTCGGCAGGAAGTTATCTTTCAAACTGGATTTTTTGGCCTCCTTCCCCTGGAAGGATTGTTTGAGTCTCACACTGAGCAGGGGATTAACCTCCACAATTTCCGTTCAAGTTATCCTGGATTTCCGAGTGACAGTCCTCTCATACTCCTCTGGGTCCAACGAAGGTCTACCTGTCCGCTTTCCGAGTTCCATCTTCACTTGGTCAACCCACACAGACTAGATTCTCGACGAGAGAAGAACCCTCCCAAATGTGAGTCCCTCACTAGAATTATCCTTACGGCATCCAAGATTCCCACGGTACCTGAACTCACCTCTGTGAACTTCCCTCCTCCCTTCCAGTTCCGGTTCACCAGCCCTTTGAGTACCAGATCCAACCCCTAAACCCTTACCACAATAAACCTGTTTAAACCTTTGCCCTGCTCTCTGAGTGCTTCTCTGCATTTCGGGTCAGATCCTTAAATAAATCATGACAAAGTTATTTAATTGATATAAAAAAAAAATTAATAAATGCATAAAAGTACACAACATTCTCCACAGCCAATCACAGTGTCCTTTGTTTAAAAGACGGGACTGATTAACACAAAGTTGTTTCTGTCCATCTAATGCTACGTTCAGACCGGACGCTGCAAAAGCAGCAAAATCGCGTCTGCTGCTTCATTTTTGCTGCTTGTACCAGTTAGTTCTGAC